AAAAAAAAAAAAAACTGGGAAAAAATTCTCGATTCGGGCACTGCAGCTCTCTCCCCATTTTTGGGAGGGAATATCGGGTAGAGGAGAGTGAATAATTCACCGGGAGAACGGTGGAGCCGATTTGTCTTGCGAAACGGGATTTAAGGCTCGCCAGTAATGAGTTTCAGGCCATAAAACCCGGCATCAGGCCATAAAACCCGGCATCAGGCTGATGCCGTTAGGCCGCGGTAATCGCAGTTGTTTCGCGGTGCCGCGAGAGGCGATTACGGGCGATCGTGGCGATTGCGATGTCTAAATGTCGCCGAAAAACGTAACGGGTGTCAAATGTCTTCGTGATTCGCACGCCGAAAAAAAAAAATGGCAGGGATAAATGAATAAAGGTTCCACGTCTACCTTTAAAAAAAAAAAAAGACCTTGAAGCCCTTTTAAGGAAGAAGCCTTTGAGACTCATTCCTCGGAAATATTTCTCGCATTCTCAGGTTTTCGAGGTGTGTCAAGGCCTTGAGCTTCCAGTAAATTGACTCCGCTCCGGAAATAAAAATTGCCCGACATGAAACGAAAAGTAATGGAAAGTAAACACGCAAAAAAATAAAACTCAGCTAGCAGGAAAGGGAATATCAATATTATTCAAGTATTTCTTCTCAGTCGCATGTTTCCTCATCTTCCCGCCCTGGTTTCTTTTAAGTCAGACGATGAATAAATCTTTTTTTATTTATTTTATTTTTTTTCTAGCGAAGTTTCCTTCTTTGAAAAAGAAAGCACGTATGTGGTGAACTTGGCACTATTTAATTCTTTAAATATTTATTTTAAATGCTTATCATAATATAGGTGAATGTGATCGACCCTCTTTCGTTCTCGTTTTATTATAAACTTCCCCCCCCCCGAATTTATCGCGAGAATGCCGCATGGTCCGGCCTTCTGGTGAATAGGACAACGAAAATCACGAGGAAAAAATGTGAACGCCAAAATGGAGGGGGCCGGACAGACCAAAGAAATGAAAGGTCTCCACCGGAAAATGGGAAGAAAGGAGATAGAACGCAACGGCCACAATGGGTCTTCACAAGCGGGAAAGAGGAAACAAGGAAAAGAAAGAAAGAATCAACGTCCGGAACTTGCTGGCGTATGGAGAGATATATCATATATCACAGGCTTTATCAGGGGCATCCAAAGCGGGTATGGTGCATAAAATAAAACATAAAAAAATATGAAGCACTCTATCTGAGGCAGATAGATAAATGTGGAGAGCAGACCCCTCGAGGAACCGAAGACTCGGCCTCTCCATCTATTTTCCACCAGCTGGGTTTTCCCCCATCGTTTCGCATTACCGTGTAAATGGGAATTCAGGGTCAGGGCAGGGACCCTAGACTTAGGCTTAGGTCGTTCGGGCTTGCAACCGAGGATCTTGCTTTAATAGATAGTTCGAACGGTATGAACAGGGGAAATCAGGACGAACTTGCTTTATCATCCGTGAAGCATACTAGTACACAAGCTTCTCGGTAGGATAATACAGTATAGGCCTTCGGAGAAGCACGATATCAATCTCCATTTTATAATATAAAAAAAAAAACACTTTAAACAATTCTAAAGAACTAAGGGGTAGGCTCACTTTATAAATCGAATGATTTAAACTTCAAGGATGAATTCTCTCGTGTCTTGCTAGGAATCCGGTGCGAGGAGAAAGTTCGGGCTTGCGACTCCTCGCCGTGTCTGTGGGGAGGGACGTGCTTGGACCTCCCCCGACAGGAATACATGTGCAAATGCCCCGAAGGAAGGCACGGTGCCAAGTGCGAGTCGGAGACGGACCGGTCGCTGGCGAAGGGGCATCTCGTCCCGGACTTCAACGGGTTCGGCTGCCTCCTGCTTCCCCGCGTCCCGAGGGCTGGGAGGAGCCTGAGCCTGGAGCTCTGGTTCCTCGCGCGGTCGCCAGACGGGATACTCTTCTACGTCGGGCAGGGGGTTTCCGGTCAGAATGCCAGTCTGGCGGGGGATTTCCTCAGTATCGCTCTCGTCGACGGTCATCTCGTCTTCCGGTTCGATCTCGGATCCGGACCTCTGACTCTCAGGTACTTTTTCGGGCTTTGCCTCGAGAACGCTTTTCTTCGTCGACGCGTGACGGAATCGTCTCGTTTCGAACGAAAGATATCCGGAGAAGGTGACCCTGGGGGAATGGCACAAGGCGACGGCGTCTCGACACAAGAGACAGGGGAAATTGACCTTGGACAATCAAAAACCCATTAGAGCCGAATCCCCAGAGCCTCTTTCCGAGCTGAATCTTCGTACATCCGTCTTCCTGGGGGGACTGAAGTGAGTATTTCCATCGCTTTAGCGACAGAATGACTCCTTTCCAGCAATAGAGGACGGGGACAAGGACAAGAGGAGAAAAGCGGGAAAAGGGGGCGGAAAAAGGGGAGGAAAGCCAGATTACAGGAAGGTTTTATTCCCAGTTCCCATGGCAACTCTCTTTCCCTTCCGAACCCCTCAAGGTCTGCTGTCTATACTTGTATCCCAGAGGAAAGGGAAGAAGAAAAGGGGCAAAGGGAAAGAAAAAAGAACCCGGCAAAATCAGTGAGGAGTGCAACGGGTCATTAAAGACCCTAGAGGATTCTCTGCCAAACCATTTTCCATCTTCATTCACGTCCCATCACTGTCATCGCGGAAAAAAAAGAGTCGTTGAAAATCGTGCCATAGGGATCGGAACATCGAAGACGCGACCTTGGTGAATCTGCCGGGCCTGGACGGGGCGATCCAGCGCCTCCTGGTGAATCGAGAGGAATACTTGGAGGACTTCGGCGATTCGTCCCTCGGAGATGGAAATATTTCCATCTATCAGGGGCCCCCTTGTCACCCGAATCCCTGCCTCAATCTCGGGCAATGTCTTCCACTCCTTGGCGACTACAAATGCCTCTGCCCCAAAGAATTCAGGGGGAAGCGGTGCCAGACGGGTACGCTGCATCGATTCGGGTCCCGGCCCCATTTTTTTTTCCCCCTACGCAAGTCTCGAGAATGTCTTTTTTTTTTCAGTCATGAGCGCGAAGGAACAGGGGACGCCGGTGAAGTTCGAGGGAAGAACTTTCCTCAAGTTCCCGAATCTCGTCCACAGATCGTAAGTGCTCGTCGAAATGCATGCCGCGGAATCCGTGCATCGTTGCATCTCCGATGGTCCTCGTAGGCGAAAGACCCAGTGGGAGAATCACTTCGTCGTGACGCTGAGGATGGAGCCAGGAGCCCGGAGTTCTCTGATCCTGTGGCTGGGAAGAGGAGGGAAGCGTCGCAAGGATTTCCTCGCCCTTTCGACCGCGGCGGGGAGATTGGAGCTGGGCCTTGCCCTCTCGCACAAATCGAGGCCCATCTTCCTCAAGTCTTCCGTTAGTTGGCCTTCCGTCGTTTGGCCTTCCGTCGATTGGCCTTCCGTTTCCCCGGAGTCTCGATCGGTCGGGGAAGCGTTTCGATAAGGGAGATGAGGGCTTGGGGGGAAACACGGAAGTCGCTGGCCGTTTCGGGTCGCGGCCGATGCCGTAAATCATGGAGTGATCGAGTGATCGCGAAGCTTGGTCGATTTCTTCATCCGTTCCATCTATTATCCTTCTATCCATTTCATCACCTACCTACGAGAATGCGGTCAGAAAGCAATTGGGGCCGATAGGCTGCATTTTGGCTCGTCTGAGTCGCTGGGGTTCTCAGTTCCTTGCATCGACAGCCCCTTCGATTGGAAAAACTAATCCAATCCGGCAGAAAGTATACCACTTTCGGCGTGAAGGGGTGTCCTTGTGCGGTTTCGTGGACTAAATAGGTGTAAGTACAAAAAGTACTGAAAAGTACTTCAAACTGAAAACTGCAGAGGCTGGTTAACTGCAAAAATTGTCAGCCCTGCAAGTGCTTGCCTGCCAGTACTTCCCAGAAATATCGAAATGGCAAATACCGAAAGGATGAGGAAGGGCATTAAATAAATAGGGGGACAAATGAAGGCGGAGACCATGCTGCGCTGTAGTAATGGGCGATAGCGAATGGTACCGATAAAGTAATGTCCCATGGACGGTTTTCAGGGATGGCGAAACCACCAAACTCATGCACATGCGCGGTACATTGCTTCGATATGGCGTATACGATCCTGGGAATCGAGCGCAAATGACAACAGGGTGCCGCAAGGTTCCTGCGTGTTACAGATGCCACACCCGCCGAAATCCATCGAGAGGTGTTTGCAGTGCATGGCGACATGTGCAGAAAGGGAGACAGAGGCAGATTTTCTCTTGCATGACAAAAGCTCGTCCAGATGGGGTCGATGGGACTCGGAGAAATTCGCCGACGTGGGGATGAGAGCAATGCATCCTTTCTGTTCTCGATCTAGCCTCAAATGACTTCATTCTTCGACCGAAAGCTTGGTCTCCTGAAAGCAGATTTGCGAGAACGTCGTTTCCCCTTTGGACGAGACTGTTCTCGTCCGAGGTGAATGCTCCGTCCGGCAGCGACTGGTACACCAGTCTATATGCCTGTATATCTATGCCACTGAAATTGCTACTAAAATTGCGACAAGGGTTCAAATGTACACGAAGGTTATTTGGAGTAAGTAGTAAGAGTAGTAAGAAGCGACTAAACCTACCCGCTCATTTGCGTCAAACTCGATATACATTAGTTCCTCTATTTATTGAATGTCCCTTGTGTTTTTTGTTTGTTTGTTTTTTTTTTTCCAGAGCTGGCAAGTGCTGCCTTTGCTTCCATTTTAACCGTTTAATATTGCCAAGTAAAGATAGCACTTTTCAGACCATTGCAAAATATATCGCAGCAGCAGATGATAATATTGAGTGACATAATGGATCGTGATAACATTGAGTGACATAATGGTTCGGCGATTGCGAGAGATGGCGAGGAGAGGAATGAAAACAATAACCGGTAGCAAGAGGCAGGATGATTGATTCTGTCAGGCGGAGAAGGCGAAACGAGCAGAGCAGAGATGGCAGAAATCAGGAGGAAGATGGAGTTTTGATTCTGGCCGACAGGGGAGATGAGGATCCAGCAGATGGCAGCATGGAATGGCGCGAAATAAGAAATTTTGGCTCGAATGAAGAGCGAAAGGTGGAAAGGGGGGGAAAGACTTGATAATTTCGAGTTTCATGCTGATCAAAACCGTAATTTCATGATGATAAAATTAACAGGTGTGCTTGTTTTGTTTAATGATGATTCCTGCTGTTCGATGTTCCATATAATTTATTTCTGCCAGAAACCAGAAGGATTTTTACTCGATGCAAGCGAAATATAGGATACAAAAGAAAAAAGTCATCGAGACTAGAAAAGGTTTTTTTTTTTTTGTCAAGGAAAATAGAAGTTGGCTCCATTAAAAAACTCATTGTAACTCCGTGCTACAACGTGCACGTTTTATGAAGATGCTTCGATTCTTTGGAAGATGGAAACTTGAGACTCGAGGAAAAGTTTTCATATCGGGAGGAAGCCATGGGGTTACAAGTCCATATTCGACAGGGATATTGGCTCCCTTTCAGCTGGAATAACGCGAAATGAGGGGGATAGAGAAGGTCGGCAGCTTTTTGATTGGCAGGCCTTTGAGGCTCGTCGAGGAGAATCTTCCTCTGAAGTTCATCAACAAATTCAACTTCGATTAAAGAAAAATTTTCGGAAGTCCATGTCACCTCGCCGAGGCCAGTTATGTTCAGCGATTGAGCGAGGTTGAGTTATGTTCAGCGATCGTTTTCTTCTCGTGAACCGTAGGATAGGGCGATCAGATTTCTTCACTAAGACGGAAAAGTCCGAGACTTTTTTTGGTTTGGTTAAAGACGAGCTGATTGCAGTATCTGCAATTGTTTTCAACTGAGGCGCATTCTTATGGTACTTAATACATTATCGTGAGAGTGGTACACTCCTTATATACAATATATGTACAATGTGCCCTGGTGGTGCAGTAGGTGGTAAACACCTACTGCAGAGTCTTGATTGAGCAATTTCTCTCGAGGGCAAGTGTCGCGCCAATTAGCAAGCTAATCTTCGTCTGATCCGACTTATCGGTGTCACTTGGGAGAAATCCTCTCATAGTGGGGGGGATGAGGACTCGGGTGCGGCTTGAACTCATGACATTGGTGTACTGTATATTGTTGCTCAATATATATATATATACAGTGGTACCTCGCATAACGAACGCAATTCGTTCCAGCGGTTAAGGAAATTAGGAAAAAATGTTTCACTTTCACTCGCGAACACCTCGTATAACGAACGCACCGCTGGAAAGAATTGCGTTCGTTATGCGAGGTACCACTGTATGTACAAATAATATGCTTCCTTACGAGGCTTAGCCGAATTCGGCATCCGATCGATTCGTTCATTCATCGAATCGTAATTGAGAATGGATGGGTGGCTGTTATAGCATCGGGTGGATGATGGGGAGTGGCACACGGTGGAGGTGCATCGGCTGAAGCGACTCCTGCAACTGCGGGTGGACGGTGGGCAGGTCCAAGGACGTCTGGCTCCGCCGGGCTCCCGGGTACTCAATTCCAATGGCAAACTTTGGATCGGTGAGTTCGCTCGTGGAATGAGGGGATGTATTCATTGAGACATTGGGCTGGGATGGGGCGTCTTTAATTAGAATGGAGAAGGGAGGAATATGCATGGACCCCCCGCTTCTCTGAAATCCCTGCATTCTCATTAGACTCTCTTCATAAAGCGAGGATGAATAACAGTTCAAGCTTTCTCGATGGAAGTATAATCTTTCCATGAACTAAGAAGATCTCGAGCCGCTTCTAGTGAGCAATATTTTACCCTCTTGCCTGCTTTGTCCGAATAGGTGGAAGCGACAACCTTCCAGACAACCTCCCGCCTCCGTATTATGACGGTTTCGTGGGATGCATCAAATCGGTGCACGTGGAAGAGACGGAGCTGCATCTCGTTCGGCATTCCAGTTTCGACCTCCAGCTCAACTTCTGCGAGGATGGAACATGAAGAAAGCAGGAGACGAACAGCTGTGATATGAGCAGTTTCACCTCCCCTCTTCGGCAGAGAGAGATCTATCTAGTCATGAATGCCCGTCACCGTGTGATCTCTCAGTGTGGACGTGAATGTGTATCTCTCGGTGCTCCTACCTTTTCCGAAACTGGGACTCTACGTTCGTTATGGAGAACATAGTGGCCCTGCCTGTATCTGTGCTCGTCAGGTTTAGGGTTATGTGCCAAGCCATAATGAATTCGTCTATTTTCATATGGGACCTGTTGTTTGACATGTATCCTCCCCTCTCCCTCTTCAGAATACCTAGCTCCTTATCCTCGAGAGGACGCTCATCCTAACACACATGATCTCGAGAAGCCATTATCCTCTTTACACCCGGCGGCAAAGTTATATGCCAATTTCGAAATGTTTTGGCTCGTTGTTTAAACTCCGGGGACGGTGGATGAAGCAAGAGTCAATATTTTTTTATCCTCCTTGATATAGGAGGAATGGAGCGGCATATGTACATGCCATCAGGTTTTCTTCCCTAGAGATGCGCGGTTGATAACATGCATTTTGTGAGAGTAAAAGAAGCTTATGGAAGTCAGCAATCAAGGATCTTATTCGACCATGTTTCTAGGCCCTGTCACAGTCATTGCGCCGACAAGAGCAGCAATTTTGTCCGGGGGTTATTCGATAATACCGAAGTACCGCAATACTCCCCCGCTCGCGAGGGAGAGGTCAGTAATCCCTAAAGCCCTCGGTATTGTGGTTCTCACTTTTTCAAGTACCCGGTATGTGAACAGCACCACCACCATGGCTTCCTTGGGTGGTAATGAAGCTCAAGGCATATCTCTGTCACGTGGCTCATTTTGTCCAACAGTGGATCCAGAAATTTTTCGGGGAGGGGGGACAGAATTCCAGGAAAGACTGGCGGATGCTGAGAGAAGCTGGAAGGGACTGCCTATGAATATGTAACTGAAACAATCATGGAGAGTGGCACTCCCCCCCCCCAATCCCTTGGATCTACCACTGTCTAAGTCACCTCTCTTGTCTTCCTCTATGTTCTCAGGTAGATCGATGTCACTGTCTCGAAGCTGACCAAAAAGAGTAATTAGACGCCGAAACGCAAGTTTACTGGTGCAATGCCTCGTGGCATGTGTACATGTCATCTATATTTTGACCCATCCCAAGGGCTCTGTCATAAGTCAGATTTAGAAATGGTGGGTCAATAGTCCTCAGTTCCAAAATCCACCCTTAGATATAATTCCCAAACTATTTGGACATACAGATCAACGTGCATCATAACTTTTTGGCCAATAATGAGCAATCGACAAGAGCTTTTATGATCGCAGACGACGCGGCGTCCATATTCGCAGAAGCGCCAAGTTCACAAGCCCATTGCCTTATTTCGACTAGAAGAGATTCCCGGGAAAATAAAAAGGTGGGCCAAGTCGAAACACTCGGCCCTGGCCGACCCAGGCCCGGGAAATTCCTGGGCCTGGGCGCGAGCGAGCGTGTCTCCTCTGCAAAACTTCTACCCTCCTACTAGTCCTGTGTGAGAGTGCGAGTCATGTCCTCGTGTACTCGCTGGGTGGACTATGAAACTGAAGCTTTATTGAAATTATTCAAGGAGCACAATGTTCAATCGATATTAGACGGGACAGCGAGAAACAAGGCTTTTCGCCTGCTATCAGCAGAATTGAACAAACTAGGAATTCTGCGGCTTGAAAAGCAGATACAGGACGAAGTGAAAAAACTGAAAGGTTTTACCTGTACATTATTAAGGCTTTAGATTTTACCTGTACTTTATTTTTTACGTGTTTCTCTAAAAAAAAATTATAGAAATAATAAATTATACTGAAGAAAAGAATTCATAGTGTTTCCATATACTGTCATAAAAATAGCATGCTATCAAACAATATGCAAAAATCGAAGACCAAGAACATCCAGTGAAAGAGCCGACCTAAGAAACTGACAGAGGTGCGAAAAGGGTCTTCCACTCCCTCAGGGCGTATTCTCAGGCTTTAAAAATGCTGTTGGGCCAGAAAGGTCAGACGTCTAATGAAAAATGATATTTCCCAGGAAAACCTAGGCCCGGGAATTTCTTCTAGTCGAAATAAGGCTCATGTTGTGATGCAGACTGAGTCTAATACGGCGCATACATTTTTTCGGGAGCTCTCGCTAATCCTGCTATGGCTTAGGGTGATTCATGACGTAGAAGCGATTTGAGCAGGGGTTTCGAAATTTTTATGTTTGGCAGGTGCACATCCAACGGGGTCTGAAGAGGCTATAAATCCCCCACTCCCCTTGTTCCTTATTATTATCATTTTTGGTAAAGCCAACATCCCAGAATCAGAAGAGAACACCACTTTTTTGTTTGCAGTGGATGCCAGCACAATGATCATCACAGCACAAAAGAATATGCTTCGGCTCTTGTTAATTAATTTATACTACAGTGGGCTCTCGTTAACACCGACGGCCGGATAACACATATTGCAGCGCGCCGTCCCGACTCCATAAGAAATACCCACTGGTGATGCCAGTTAACACGAACAATTGGTTAACATGGCCTATTTTCAGCAAATTCAGCCATGCTGGAGAACTTTGTGGATGCCATAAGGCTTCAAGTGGACAAACAAAAAGATCAAGGACTTTTTCAGTGCAAAGTAGTACAGTTCTTTAACAGGACTATGTGCGATTAGAGAAAAAGCATTACAGTACCTTGAATTTTTCTGAACTTATATTCAGTAATATGTTAGTTTTCAGTACAAAAATTACACATCTTGTCAATTTTGTAATAGAGTACAGTTTTGTACTTGTATTTAACCACACTCAAAATTCAGCTTCAGATAACACGAACTTCTGTTAACACAGAAAGATTGTGCTGGCATAAGGCAGTTCCTGTTAATGAGAGTCCACAGTATAACTTTGGCATGTGAGCTTAAGATTCCACTAGAGAATATTCCAGGGAAAAAGAGGGAAAAAAATGAGGTATGGGGAAAATCAAGGAAGTTGCTTCATTCCAAGGTATTTGCTCTTCATCATTATAATGAACTGCCTCCTTCAATCATTTCCACTTGTTCATGACAGGATAATAAATAATTACAGATATTCAAGGATTCCTTCCAGCTGGAGCTTTCAAATGAGCATTCCTCTGAAATTCAAGTACATGAAATCCAATCATCAGCATAGAACTGGAATTCAAGAGGCAACACATTGAGCTACACATAATACACAGCCGATTGCTTCTCAGGTCCCAGGAATGGCAACAGATCCTTAAAGTCAAAGAGCATGATGAAAGGAAAAGTGAGAATATTTGAGGACATCTCATGCTTTGACTGGTGCATCTCCATTATCCTTGGAATCCACAGGTTTCATCTCCACATCTGCCAAGAAGTGAAAGGTGGAACCAGGTAAGCATGATTTTCAAGATAAGGCAAGTAGTGAGCCTGCAAGTGGAGTGACACATTCAGAGCAATGGTTATTTGAATCAAAGGAACTAAGTTCAATTTCATCACTGAATGTATCAGTTGGGATTCAGGGTAAGCCAAAAGCCATCTACTACTTCAATTTTCTTCTTGGAAAGCTCATAGAGATGAATATTAATGGAGCATTTAGTCAGAACCATTCATAGAATTTCTGGATAAGAAATAAAGTGCCCTTCCAATAATTTCCAATAATTTCTAGAGTTTTCCAACTTCTGTGGCTATACGATGACTACTGATTTCAAGGCATGAATAAAAATCAATGATATTGCTAGTCATGATTTTAGTCAAGATTCTGGAACAATTGACATCATGGAACTTCCCTAAAGAGCAGAACAGTACTGTTTCTAATGAGCATTGAAGGGAAACCATCATGCAGCCTCCTAGACCAATCCATCACATGGGGGTCACTTCAAGCAAGAGGCCATCATATGTATGTTGACAATGAACTGAAATATGCTAAGAGTTTACTTGTAGCTTACATTCTTTTAATTGTATTTTTGAATGTTGGCTTCAGATTTGTCATATCTTATAAGAAAAACAAATAGCAATGCCCAAATGAAAAAATTAGCTCACAATGAAGTCAGTGATCAAATGAAAGTATGGCATCATCTAAGCATAGAGGGTGACAGACCATAAATCAAGTACAGACAACAAGTCTTTCATTAGTACATCTCATCAGACAGAACATTTCATACCAATATCATTGGAGTCTTTGGTGGGGCTTTGGAGTGGTTTTGTATCCTCAGATGGCTTGTCTCTGTCTCCATCATCTACTCTGAGTTTTTTCCTGCCTTTGTAAGATCTGTAAAGGATATGGAGAAGCAATTGGGCTTGTGATGATCAATGGTTCAATTCTAGGCTCATAACTTCATGGACAAGGATGAGACAAATCCATTCATTCACCTCTGGTCTCTACGTCCTCCTTCACCTTCATCTTCTGAGTCACTAAACTCATTGTCTGCTGCTACTCGTTTGTCAGATGCTCGAATTGAGATTCTCTCCTCTGGATTTTTTTTTGGCTCTTCATCTACATCATCCATGCTCATGGCATCTTCTGGGATGTCTACATAACAGAGAGCAAAAAAAATATATATATATCAGAAGACCCAATACATGGAGTGCAATGAGAATGAGAGATTTTGGGTATGTTCCTGTGCCCATTCAGTACACAAGACAACACTCACTTTGCATCTGAACTCCAGGGACATGAGGCAGCATTCGAAGGTTCTCAAACAATCTTGTTCTGTGAGAAACACATCTAGTTAGGATTTGAAATAAAACAGTTTGTACAACACTGTGAATTAATATTTTCTGGGAGATAATTTAAAACACGAGGAGTTTAAGCAAAGCATGAGGGAAATTCAGGATGTGCTAACTTGACTTTGTCCAGGTACTCGGTGTTGTTCTGATTGGTCATGTTGGAAGGCGTGATGTGGAGTTTGAAATCAGGTCCAAAATACTCAAAGTAATCATTGTAGGGAAGCTCATTAGCAACTGAAGCCTCCGCTCCAAGTGCCACAGCTGTCTCATAACACCAGCATCGAGCTACATTACGGATTGTGTATCCTCCACCTCCCACCAACAGCAAGGGCAAGTTGTATCTCTTGATGAAATCCACACATTTTGAATGACCTGAAATATTAAGAATATTAACCAAATAAAAAATATTAGTACAACAGTTTTAGAGTAGAAAGGGAAAGGTGTGCAGGTCACCACAAACCCTTAAGTGTGAGGTTGAAGCAGCCAAGACGATCACCACTCAGGGAGTCTGCACCACACTGAAGAACAATCGCACATGGTTGATATGTCTCCATGACTTTGGTCATGATTGGAGTGAAGATGGATTCATAGCTCTCATCATCTATGCCATCTCTGAGAGGGAAATTTACTGCATAGTATTTCCCTTTCCCAGCTCCTATATCCTGTAAGTATAGAAAAGTATAATCTCATAATGGCCAAGTTGCTCATATTAGAACATGTGTAATTTAAAGGCCAGGAAAAATCTCAATTTGATTAGGTTACCCGGAGATCTCCAGTTCCAGGGAAATATTCTCCATATTTGTGGAAAGAGACTGTCATGACCCTGTCAGTAGTATAGAAAGCTTCTTCTACTCCATCTCCATGATGAATGTCAATATCTATGTAAAGTACTCGTTGATGATACTTCAAGAGCTCCAAGATGGCCAGGACAATATCATTCACATAACAGAAGCCTGAAGCCTCAGACTTCTTGGCATGATGCAGGCCTCCTGCCCAGTTGATGGCAATTTCAGTGGCTTGCTTGTTCAGCTTCACAGCTCCAGCAACAGACCCACCCGCAGACAGTTGGCAAAACTCATACAAACCATCAAACACTGGGCAGTCCTCGCCAACATTGACTAGGAAGGGGAATGGGAATTGCAAATGAATATCCACAGCATAACGTGGATGTGCCTAAAGATGAAGTTTGAGATTCTTTCAAAAAACACTCACATCTCTGCATCTGCTTGTTGTATTCAGAGATGTTGTCAGGCTTGATGCTTCGCAAAAACCGAATGTAGTCATCGCTATGAAATTTTGTGATTTCTTCAGCTGTTGCCTTGTGAGGCCTCTGGAGAAAAACAAGAGAAAATGGCATGTGTTCAATGAATGCTCAATTTAAGAGTTTCCTCTGAATAATATTCCTAATATATGCAAGAATGGAATGTTATCTACCCAGATGTGAATTAGGAAAACAGATTGTAGTAGACATCTACCACCCAAAATTTATTTTACCCATCCAATAGATGGGTAAAAGATGAAAAAATGTAGATGAAAAAATAAACAAACAAATAATTTATAATTTAAAAAATGGTGCTGGATAAATAACAGGACAACAAACACCTTTCCATAGCCATAACTCATAACCAACATTAAAGAATAAATGTTTTCCTGAAAAGTGGTTTTTATCAACATCCATTTGTTGTATAGCCAATTCATATAATGGGTCTTTCTTCCACTCCCAGTCTCCCTGCCATTTTTCAGAATGGTGTTCCAGCAAATTCTTCTTCCAGAATACAATACCCATATACAGAGCAGTCCATAGCTAAGTTTACTGAAGGATTTTTAGCTATATAATTTCTTTATTAACCTAGGTTTACTTTTTATGTTAAAAAATATTACTCGTTTGTATTTTACACCCTATTATGATCGTATTTTCTTACCAATGAAATGGTTCAGACTTGCCAAAGAACAAAGGATTTTAAGCATTGGTTCAATAATCAGGTATGGGCCACCCTGAATTCTGGCTGAAGAAACTCCTGTTCACATTGGCAAAGGAATCATCAACCTTATTAGAATATTTCCATTTGCTGATGATTAGAGCCATTCATTTACAACTGGAAATGGGGAATTTCAGCAAAAAAAATTAGTAAAACAAATATTTCATTGGCAAGGCAAAGGACCCGATTTTAACCATAATAATTACAGAATAACTCAATATTTGTGACTGCCAATAACCTTTCTCATAATTTTTACAGTAGAATTCTCAGTCAATCAGGTTTGGGCACCTTAAATTTCCATAAAGTATCTTCCCTGTCAGCCCAAGATCTCAGTTTCCCCCCTCCCTTCCACTACAATAGCTACCTCTAATTGTAAATCAAGAAAACAGTGTTTTTCCATGCTTTTAATCTTGTTACATAGATGGAGGAATATCACATCACATCTGAGGCACTTATAACTTGGAATAGCATGATTCCAAAAGAGTTTAGAAATATAAGAAAAATATTTTTAAAAAAAGGAAAAGGTCATGAAGCCCCCCACTGGGAGGGAGAGGCCCTATGATCATCTGCTGATATTCATATTAAGCTCATTATCCAAAAGTTTTATGACCTGCATTTGCTATATTCTATTATTTGCTATATGTGATGAACACCAAATGGGTTTGGAGTTCAAATAGAAAAAAACTTGCAATTTGAGTTTCCACCAATTAACATTGAAAAAACTGACAATCAGCTGCTTATTTGCAAAAATGACAATAAGCTAATGCAAATGTCTTATGGGTCACTTTCCAAAACCTAATTTGGCTTAGTAGTTACAAGCTCCATGGAATACCCCATGGAATCAGTAAAGTAGGTCTTCTCAAGTTTCAATAAATTGGCTTTATGAGTAAGTGATGTTTACAGAAGATCAATAAGCTGCATTGCCACATTACTGCCTTAACAATGCTATTGTCTGTTCAGTGATTTACAAAATTCAAAATCAATACAGTATGAAGAAAATCTGCAGCAAGTTCTGCATAAATGGAGAATATTAAGCTGAAGCAAAAGGAGACAAACAGGTGTCATTCTTACGTAAATTTCCATTTTCCTGTACAGTCCATAGTTGAGGATGAGGTTATGTGTCATCCGCATTCTATGGGGTTTCATGGGATGTCCTTGCCCATAGTAATAGTTGCCAATGTCACCTGGTAGAAAAGAACATTTATGAATCACACAATGTTCCCCCTGTAGCTTCACCAAATCATAATGCTTAATACTTTGAGTGTAGATATCTATGGTACAGTAATAAAAAAAGAAACTCTTCTTCTCTTTTCGTTGCAAATATGGTCGATTTCATGGCATAATTTACAGAAGGGCAGGCCTTTCACTAGATTCTGCAAAGGCCCCTTGCCTTTGACCTAACCTTTTATTCTGAAGACAAATGCATGGTCGCAACTTAAGCTTTAGGATTCTTATTCAAAGAACACATTGGTCGTAAATGACGCTGAATTAAATCCAGATAATTTACTGGAAACGAACTCTTTTCATATTTTGATCTGAGAACTATGCCCGCGCAATTTGAGGCAACATGTCCACCATAGCCTAGCCTAGGCGCTCTAAAGAAAGCGCACCAAGTCAATGCGTGTTTGCTGATGAAAAAATGTGTAATATGTAGCGGACATATACTCTTAGAAACAGACTGAGTTCTACTTCATCAGAATAAGTCTCCTTTTTTTTTTAGCAACTACTTTCTAGTACGCTCTGTTGAGTTTCGTAATGCACGGCCACCATAGTTTGCTAGAGCGCATTGAGATTGAATGTTCTCGCATCTCGAATCAACATGAGCACTGCTCTCTTGCTTCCTCAAATAAGATCTTTAATTTAGGCCACCAAAAGAGAAGACTGAGACAAGCATGCACGATAAACTTACTATCATAATAGTAGCAGACGCGCTTCTTGTGATGCTGCGGTGCGGCCATCTTGCCAGACTGCGGCCGGTAGCGTTGACAGGAAAGCCAATCATGTGGTTCCTTATTCTGTGCTCGACCAATCAGGACCAGACCTCCTCCCTATGGCAGACAGTATGCGCCGAAATCCTCTCAGCGCGCCCGGCTTCTATGCGTTTGTGAACACTGTTGAGCTCAGTCCACTGAGGAGTCTACATTAGCCCAAGTGCTTCCCTCTGCGGACGATGCAATTTGGACCGGCATATTCTTGTTTGCTTATCGCATTCTTTTCCTGTATTATGCAGCTATAACATTGTTCTTTCAACCAAGATCGTAGGTAAGAATGGAATGGCACTCTTCCTAGAAATGATCCATGCGAGATATGAGAACCACCATTTTACCAGGAATGAACGGCCTGTGCAGGTGCATGCATTTTGTTTCTCAAAACAAGCATACAGTGTCGTTACGTCTCAATTGCAAGTTAAATGTGTGAATGAAATAAATTTGCCCCATTCCATACTCCATTTTCCATTCCATTGATACTTCGAAGGGTTCCACCTCCGCTATGTCTTTGCAGCACGTACATTTTCTCCTCGTGTAAGCGGACATTATATTTGCATATTTGCTACAGCCACCTGCACCCAGAAACGGCTTTCCACCATGAAAATGAGAAGAGCTGACAGTTGAAGACGCTTCCCCAAGGTGGCGCTTTTGCTCCCTTGTACTTCCCTACTGCTTTCGAGATGTCTTTCATAATTAGGAGTAATATTTATTTAAGGTATTAAAATGTATGCTCCGTAGTTACAATTAATATTTCTTCTGTGCTTCAGATACTCGACTTTGCAGATAAATTTACATTTAACCGATTCCATCCTTTCTTCTTAAAGGGTCCCTCGAACCAGAGCTCACGGAGACTCCGGCGAAGTAGATGACCAAGCCTCTGACCAAGTGAAACCCACCTCTTTTCACTCAATTTGAGGTCTCGATCGAGTCCCAGTATCGAACTGTCACTCTCGAAGGCTGACCATGTCAAGGACTTCCGATTTAAAAGAAAAGGAGGTTAGTAGAGCTATAGCCCAATTTTTGCGCAAGTGCGAATGAGTCTGCAAGTGCGCCTCGGGGGAGTCTTTTGTCAACAGCGTCTCTTCCTGTGCTGTGCAGAATTGATCCGAAGGACGACCGCAGACAGCCGTGACATGCCCCTTTCTTTATAGACGGCTATGCGTGTCCTCTTTCCATTAGCTTTCAGGACTGATTTGTAGAGATGACTTGATTGTGAAAGGCCAGGGTTTTGTTATAGCTGCCCTGGAGGAAATGAATAATTGAATCGAGACGAAGGACTTCTTCGAAATGTATTTTGTCCCCAGTGGAAAACGAACCCGTACCTTTCACGGATTCCGACCCTGTATTGGTCCGGTACTGATTCGGCACTTAGACCTTCCTCACCGAAGGCCCTCTGACTTCGCCGCCCTTTCGTGAATGCAAAGGGCAGGACTATCGTTTGACCTCCCCGAAGGGAAGGGAGAGCGTGACAATGCCAAGGACAGTCCTTCTCTGAAAGGTCATTCTGCTACGAACGAACTCGACGAGAGGATCAAAACCGCATAAATTGAAAACGCGACGCCGCGAAGGTGCAGTGACGTCACACTTTCCCTCGCCCTTGTTTCCTTCACCTGTTTCGCTTTCGGTCGCGTCGTTTCTTTTCGGGGTATCTGGGAGGAAATAGTCGCTAATAGACGCTAAGGGAAGCTAAATGAAATGTGACGGGGGTCTGTTGTGAAACAAGCTGGGAAACCAAAATACAAGCTTATCTTGAGTGCACCGTCATGAATGGTGCAGTCAAAACAACATGGAGGAAACAAGATAACACGGTGCACTGGCCACGTGAGGGATGGTTCGTGGCCAGGGGAAAAACCGTCCATTCCGTCGTCTACTCTGTCGTCTGCTCTGTCGTCTGCTCCGTCGTCTGCTCCGTCGTCTGCTCCGTCGTCTGCTCCGTCGTCTGCTCTGTCGTCTGCTCTGTCGTCCATCGTCTGTCGTCTTCTGCTGTTGGGGTTTTCCCGTGTCACGTTCATGTCGAGATGAATTGAGGTTTGAGCGAAATTGTTCTGGAAATAAGTAGATGTCACCTTTACCGCTTTATTAATTGGAGGCAAATCCGCGAAATTGGAAACGGTAGTATTCCCTCTGATGTTGATGAATGCTTCGCGCTGACCAGCGAGCGCGTAGACAGACGCCCGCAACACACACACACACACACACAAAACATCCGACTTACTTCCATAAGTCGCCAAGCCGGAGTTATTTCCCTGATCTTTAGTCACGTGAACATTATTATACACGTGTCGACATGACATGACATTACCTGACACGAGATCGCTTCATAATTCTATGGTTTATCGGATGATGCTCAGCATTAGCTTGGAGGGCCTGTAGTGGATGATTATGCCCTGCTTGGATTAATTGCCTCCTTGTGGGGGATGGGGAACCTCTTGACGCAGCCCAATGATATGATTCATGAGCAGTTCGATCTGTTTCTGTTACAGAGATGGTTGTTCCTATACTACGATGCAACAGAAAGTGAGTACGATGAGAAACGATTCTGCGAATCCTCACGAGATGGGAAATCCCCAGGTCCTAGAATTCCCGGATGTCAACGTGCCAAGTGCCACCTCGGCTGAGACGGAAGTGGCCGAGACGAAACCATTATTACACGAACATGACGGGACGTTATGTCGTAACATCGTGTGAAAGCCGTCAGCTGGCGCGACCTTGGATTTCTTTACTGAAAAGGAAAAGGCGGAGTGCAGCTGTTCTCAGAATGTGGGACGCGGTTCCCCGATGACCATTCGCCTTTTCTCCGTGCTCAATTATTTGCACAAATGAAGTCTTTGTCGGCAGCGATCGTTTTGGCTCTTCTCGTCCCTTCGGGTGAGTCGCGATTTTCTGGACAGGGTATTTTGTGCATTTTCGTCAATTTTGTCTTTTCTCGTTCGTAGAGGAGATCGAGTGCTTCATCTGTGGTGTGGGCCAATTCGATCCCTGCGATAAACCTTTGAAAGCCTTCGAATGCAATAACGGGATCTGGAACTGCCTGACTTTCTACAGGAACGACCAACAAGGTCTGAACAACTTCCCTGCCTCTTTCGAAAGCCCGAAAAAAAAAACCTGCTCTGAGTTTTTTCTGTAACAGAGGACTTGATTTTGAGGGGGTGCGGCGCTCGGCAGGAGCTGTCTGACGGATTTTGTACGCCAGTGCACGAGAACTCCTTGGATATGGACGGATGGGGTTGCTTTTGCAATACAGACAGATGCAATAGTTTTTGAGACTTTCATTTTTTAAACAGTCCTCTTCATTCTCGATGAAAATCGAGAAATGACTCGTTGAGTCGGTTCATAAAAAGGGGGTTAAGTCTAACCCTGATTTGGCTTAGTGCGTTTTTATTGGCACTGACTCAAACTTTTATGTTTTTACGAACCGATAATTTAAAAGGCTTTCCACGAACTCGTTTTATTTGCGTGGGTGTGGCCTTCATTCATCATGCTTCGTTCCGAGACTTTGAGCAATTTCTGAAACTTTTTAAGGACGTCCATAGTCGCGGCAACAGTCGCCAGGGTCGGTCTTCATGACAGCATTGCAGAGGAGATTGAGCAAGATCTCCCCGTACTGCATGAGGACGTGAAACCCCACATGGATCCGGTCGTGGCACCACCACCTCCAAGACTTCGCCTCCTCCTGGGCTTCTGCGTTCCCGGCCCGAATGAGCCTGGAACAGGCGAGGATGTACTCCCAGGCCAAGGGCCAGGTCGTGTCCCAGAGGAGGACCCGAGGCGCGAGGGACGAGAGGTGGCTGGACGCCAGGGTGTTCAGACGGTGGAGGCGGGAAATTCGCCAGTCCTTGATCGGGTCTTGGAGTTGCCAGATCACCGGGATGTGCTTGGCCAGAGATTGGAGAAGGGGGGCCAGTTTATCGAGGGATTCCAGGAAATTCTGCTCCATGCTGATAGTGCTTTGGTTCTTGGTCAGATGTGCCACGTCCCACATTCCTCCACCTGTAGGAATTTAAATATTGTTGGGGAATGAATAATAGAGGAAATGCGATGGGGGAGGGAAATACTGTCCATGAAATCGAGAAAATCGCCATAAAACTTGAGAATTTATTAGAAAAAAAAAGAAAAATGAAGCCATGCATTCATAAATAAGAGCTCCTTCATTGAGATAAGATCGTTATTTCATTTTATTTGATCCGGGACTGACCCACAACGACGACTGCAGGCCAGAACGTCGTCGGGACTTTGAGAATCCCTTTGAGATAGAGGAAAATCGGCTCTGTGAAGTTGGGCGCCCAGAGGAACTTGAACCTGACGCCGTGGTCCTTTCGACTCTGCGCCTCGATGTCGTCGTGCACGCGCTTCATCGGATACAAGTAGTCATCGAGCCTCACCCAGTCTTTCTGTAATGGGGAAGGTCTGTAGTTCTGTGGGAAATTGTGATTGGGTGTTCTCGAGACGTTATCAGTGGAAATAGGGATATTTCTTCTGATGCCTCAGATGGAGCTCAGATAGAGTTTCCTTGCGTCAAAGAGAATATCATCACTTAATACTATACCATACATACTATTCCATGGACCAGAAACTAATGTCGAGCAACTCCATGGTACGAGAGTATTTTCATGATTATTCTGATATCACTTCTGACTTGAACGCTTTTTGCCAGAGGACCGCTCATTGCACACGGCGTCCGCGTCACTCCAGTAATAATGTGAAATGCCAATGGGGATGGAATAACAATTAAGAAATGAGATGTGAAAGAATTGACTGACTCGGTTGTAATTCACGATGATGTCCATTTCTCGGGAAAGGTTGAGCAGGGCCGTGAATCGATTCCTCACTCGGGAATCTCCAACGAAGAGAAATTTCGCGCTCAACCCGGAACTCCTCCGAGCGTGCAGACAAGTCTTCGTCTCCGAAGAACGAAACCGCTTGAAACTGCAATGAGGATACGTCACCGTGCGATTCCCGCCCCCCACCGCCCGCCTCCGACCGAACGCCTCCTTCAAGTACCACTCCGGGACTGACTCGGCGAACGGCAGCCCCATGAGGTCTTCGTCTTCGCTCCGCGACGCATTCAGATCCGGCACCTTAAAGCGATCCTCGGGGCGACACCTCCGCGAGGACACGATGCACTCGCAGGGTTCGAACTCGGACAGGGTCGGCTGTGTAGGCTGTTGCGCGATCAGCTTCTCCTCTCTCTTCACTTCCGAGTCCAACTGGAGATGGAGCACGAGGAGGGACAGGAACGCGAGGAGACAGACGGAAGGAAAATGCTTTCGCGTCCTACGACACATTATCTTTGATGGGAATTCCTTGTACTGCACGCTAGCAAGGGGTGCGACTGAGCTTCCTCACTATTTTCTATCGATTCCCGAAGAATCCAGGTGCGAAAGAGGCATTCACGCATTCATATTGTATTGTATTGACACCGATCCCACAGACTGATTTGCATGATACAAGGTTGCCAGAATAAAGAATCAGTTTCATTGGGAACTAATGATTTCAGTTTTCTTTAATGTAACTTTCCATCATCCCATCCATCATTCCATCATCATAATGATACTTTCCATCATCCCATATGCTACTTCTGTGAATTTGAACATACGAATTGGGGCACATTTTGAGGTTTCCATGAAAACCCAATTTAAAATACCAATTGGAATTTTCCAGCCGGACCAAAACCGTAAATTCGGACAATTTCCAGCTGGCAAAGAGCTGGAAAATTGAAGATACATGTAGTTTTACAGTTGGAATTCCCCAATTGGAATGCAACTGGTTTTAATAGTTGTTTCCAGCTGCAAATTTCCAGTTAGAATTTTATACAGAGGACCCTCCAGTTGGAATAGAGCTGAATTTAAAGTCGAAATTCAGCTACTTCTGTAAGTGGACCCACAGCAAGAATAGCCGACAAAAACATTCTCATTCCACCAGTGGGATTGCAACTAGAAACCAATCTAGATCCGACTTTACTTTCCAGCTGTTACCCAGTTGGAATGAGTCCAAATTTACAGCTGGGGTCCAGCTGGAAGTTATTGCTGTTCCCGGTCGGGATTTAAAGCTGGGAATAGAAGGAGAGTTCTCCTTTGGCAACGATAAGAGTACGAAAAGGACCTTAGAATTAAGCAGGGCGCATTGACCGCATGAATTCGTATGACGTCGTCAGATGGCAAATACGAGCGAGATATTTTCAAAGCATTTCAATGACAAGCTCCAGATATGGAACCAATGCGTTTTATGGAATTGATGTCACGTCTGATGTTCAACTTCATGAAGTCATGGATTGTTCTGGTATCCTTAGTTCCGATGAGATTAGAAACTCACCCAAAACCGTCGTGGGACGTCAGCTGATTTCACTATTTCGCAAGACCCGCATGGATTTCCACGAAATAGTGTGATTTGTTCTATCGATCTTAGACTTCGGCATAATGTTCTTTCACAGCTCACCTGAACAGCTCCAGTCTTGTGCGACACCTGGTTTAATTAAAAAAAACAGAGGTTTACATTAACAGCCGCTAGATGTCCTAGTATTCCTTGGCGAGTTGCCAGAGGGCTCTATTCAAGCGCCCACGGCCAGGGATGCGAAGAGACGCGCCTATGTCCCTGTGCTACTGTTTCTTGGTGCCGGAGTAGGCGTTCGTGTTATTTCCCAATCTGAAGTGCCCAATCAGAGCCCTCATTTTTCCATCCTCATTCAAATTTACATGTTTTACTGTTCAATACAGTTGTTTTACTGGAATGGGGCAGTTCGTGAAGAACGAAAACTGCGTTTTTCAAAGGCAGGGGCTATCTTTGGCCATCACTGATGGCCACACATCCGTTCGCTTTCATGCTACGTCAGGCCTGAGAACTGTCATGTGCGCATTAATTCTTGCAGGCCGTTTCTAATATGACAAAATGCATCTCGTCAGTTGTTGATTCTCAGGGTTTTTTCGAACTGAGGTAGGCATAGCCTAATGTCCATGCATTGGCGTAGCCTTAGTAGGAGCGACAAACGCAAGGTTCGTCATAGGTCATAGGTCCACTGAGGGGTTGGCCTAGGCCTATGATATGCGCCTAATGGTAGGAGTCCGACGCAATAAAGACACTACAGTTTGTGGACAGGGTTACGGACTAGCGAAGCGTAAGTCATCCAAACGAGCGTACTGGGAAGATTGATTTTATTAGGCCTAAGATCTTCAGAAATTGTCAGAACCAGAGGTAGTAAATTGCCTTGGTTTTGGTTTTAGCCTACGTGAGAAATAGGAGCAGACACTCTGATGATAGGCTAGTCTGGAAGGAGAGAAACTCTTACAATATGCTGTGTGATACCATCATGAAAGTACTTGAAGTAAATTCTAATCCTGAAATAATCAGGAAGTGGGGAAGATTCAAGATAACTTTGTCATTCCTAAACTAATTTTAAAGAGAACTGCTGAAGTATGAAGACTTATGACCTTATTAATTTAATAAATAACTGGCAAGATGAACTGGAAATGCATTTACAAGGGTAGGTATAGGTAGGCGATAAGGGAGACGCTAAAGTTTCACTTTAGTCCTTGACCAAAAGCCTCAAATAAGTTTTGAGTTTCAAAAACGATCTTTAAAGGATTAGTGACTGAATCTTTTAAGGACATTTGTGCTTCATTCATTCAAACATGTTTTTCAGTGAACTCTCAAGATATTTTATATTACATGATTAACTCAAGAGGTAGAATGAAAAACGTTTGTTTCCTTACCAGAGACTCCCCCACTGTTTTATCCAGCATATTCTCTATTGAGTTGTATGAGTTAATAATTGAAGATGAAGCTCATGAATGATGCAAGTCTTATCTTCAGAACAGGGCACATTTATGGTGATGCATGTAAGTGTGTGTAATTTGTAGAACCATGAGGTCAAGTGGTAAATTTTGATAGGACTTCATGTGTTGTGTGGGCAGTTTTCTTAGGATCTCTAATATAACCCATTTACTGGATCCACCTGTCAGCTTTCATTGTTATTTATTTTGGATTGGTAGGTCAAGTCTATTTTGTTTGCCAAGTGGAGTTTCTTTGCTTCAATTTTGCTGGCAAGCTGTCTGGTGAACATAGATTGACTCATGATGTGGGAGTTATATTTGCCTCTCCTAGGATGGCATATTACATTGTAGTAATCGAACTTGTACAAAGACACCATCCCATCATTAGTGGAAGCCAGGAAGCTTTGTTTTCATTATTTATTTGTTTAATGTGGAGAAGGGCAGATTTTTAAAACGATTATTCATTTCCATTTGAGGAATCGTTTGACTTTCAAGTCATGCCTCAGACTAGTTTCAATCATTAGATTTAATAGTGACTCTTCTAAATTCTACTGCTGGTTTGAAGTTGTGACATCACTGTGAATTTTTATCAAATTCAAAGGGGCTGAGACCATTTTAGTTGTATTTCCAGGGTGGTGTTTAATGCTTGGTATGCCAGAATTGATGCAAAGCTTGTGGTTTTCAATGCCAAAGACAATGCAGTACAATGGGAATGTAATGCTATGCAGAGTTCACATGGAAAATGACTATTTATCTTGATAGCCCTTAGAGACAGAAATTGGAAACATCCAACCTTTATTCTTACTGTTTTTCCCATGACACAATATATGATTTCTGGTTATGTAAAGCTAAGGAAAGTCATTACTCGTTATGTGATTAGGTAGTAATTTATCATTGTTTTAGGAAGTGGTATTCTAGGAAACCTACTTCTTGACAGAATGTGTAAGCAGTTTGTATATCTTGGATTCCATGTGGCTTGTTAGATTTTGAGAAATGATCTTAGTTGTAGATTGTTTCGGTGTTTTTAAGTTGAATTTCGTGCTGCTTGTAATCATATTTACACTGAAATGACTGTATGAGTTGGCGATTAAGAGCTCCTCATACATTTAGAGCGAGTCAAGTGAAAAACTGACGTATCAAATTGGTTTGTATACTGTCTGTGTACACAGCTACTTGTCCAAAGGAATGGATAGTTCTTGTGAAGACCGCGAGCGTTACAATCTTAAGTAGGGAAGAGGGTCATTTAAGTCTTATCAGAAGAGTGATGTCATAACAGCATGTGCGTTCCAGCGTAGCTTGGTCGGTCTTGTCATGACATTCCTCCTCGATTTTCTAGTAGCGACTACGTAACAGTGCTCATTCCCCAAAACTAGTCTTGACTTGAAACGGCCTGGATTCCGTTGAAGTTGGTTTTTATTCGCAGACAGGATCGCCAGAGAAATTCAGTTGGGAGTCGTCGCCAGGTTCTTGACTGCGACGCTGTGTGCATGTGCATGTGTGCGAGTGAAAGCGAGTGAGAGGGAGGAGAGGTGGTTCGTGGTTCCGTTGCGTGTGAGCCACGAGCAAGCCGTAGCCAGGCCAGGCCAGTCGCAGCCTCTACGCCGCGTGCTGTGTTTGCTTGTGACTCTCTTCGTCGGTGTTGATAAACGGGGACGAGAGATAGTGATTGTAGACCGTCGCCTGGGTGCTGGGGTCACGGAGCCGTTTTTCGTCCACTTCTAATGACATTGATGAGAATTTGACGAGGGCGTCACCCGTCTAGTAGTCCTTGGAGAGATTCCGTCATGGGCCAAAGCAGGTGTGTGATCGTGTCGATATCTGTTCTATTTTGCTTTAATTTCTCTCCTCTAGAGAGTTTCAAGTGAGGGTTGGCCCAAGTCCAATCTTTCGAGTTTGCCAGTTGCTTTCCGTTTTCCCACGTGCAAGCACCAAGTAGGCGTACATTTGTCATCCTCGGTGGTGGGGGGTAGGTAGAGTTCTTCCCATGCCAAGAAGTGGAGAGGGAGGATCATGGTTCATGTCAAGGTGGAGTTGGGCCTGGGATAAATGAACCAGCCCAGCTGGCACCTCCATTATAGCATGTGCTAACGCCTCCCCTCATGATTGACTTGTGATTCATGGGCTAATTCATTAGTTACGACCTGGAATTTCTCGGAATTCATGCACGGTTCGTGTCTCAGCAGGCACTGTTCGGTGGAATGCGGACCTGACTGACTTCGCTTTTTCTTCCAATCTAGCGAGTTGTCCGGGAACGGGAAGGTGAAAGGAGTGGCACCTCCTCCTGTGGATAGACAAATCACGGTCCTGGCCTCCACTTCTACCGGAGATTCGGAACACGAACCCGGAACATCGTCGCAAGACTCTGGTGTCAGCGTGTCCTTTCACGCCGAAGACGAGAAGGAGAGGGAAAATCCAGACCTCAGGTTGAGGCTGTTGAGAGCTCCGCACGTCAACATGGAAGGGGAACAGAGATCCGCCAGGGAATACTGCAAATACGGAGAACTAGTCATATTGGGGTGAGTCGTCTTCATTTCATGGGGGTGCTAGCGATAGCATGGCATAACCCCCCCCCCCTTCCATTATCCCTTTGTGGCGTTGTGAAACTCGAGTTCCAGTAGCGGCCTGGCACGGCATGACAGGAATAACGCGTGCACAGCCGTCCATCGAGACTATTACAAAGGCGATCTATCGATGAGCTCGGCACACGTGTATGGGTAAACATACTTGCTTTCCTTTCCCCTCCCCTCATCCCCGGGCTTCCCGAAAGTGTTTGCTTGTGCAGAATGGGCGCCGCTGTCTCCGGGCGAAACCAGGTCTCGTATTCATTAACCTTCCCAAAAGATGATAAGGCGTCCGCATAAACAATAGAGAGAACAATTGATTCAGCATTATCTGATATGGGAAGGAGGCCAAGCTGTTTGAAATCATAGACACCATCATGAGCAAGGGCCTAGTTTATATATAAATTCGGAATCGCTTTTCACGAAAGCCTTGGTTATTGCGTTGTTGATCTGCTTGATAATTTTGACGGGACATGAGTAGTTGTTTTTCAATCCTTTGTTGCAATCCATCATTTTCCCAACCGCGACTTGACGTATTTTACGTCAAACCAGTCGACATTTGAGAGGAAGCCGCTCCCTGACTCATCATGTGGAACATGGATGGACTCTGCTTTCATGTGCTTTGAGCCCATGAAGGTCCTTTTCTACGAAAGGAGGATGTGTATTGTGTTCTGTGCATACGAATATCATGGGTGTCATCATGCATGGAACTGGGTTTTGGCCGGAACTAGTCTGATCTCAACAGTCCATACGCCCATTTTACAATTTCTGCTATGCAGGGCTTGGCACGCCTTTTTTTGTTAGATACTTTCCATCTTCACGCTGCATTCTTCCGAGAATCACTCCAGTTGATTCTTGGGACGTGTCGGATAAAAAAATAATAAAAAAGCCCTCCCCCTGGCACTGATGAAGCAGAAAAGGAAAGGCAAGAGCTGTGAAGCATGATATTTGCGAAATGTATGTCGGGAATATGATACGGACAGCAAACAAGACGCGATTCAGTTCTACCTGGAAAGGTGCGAGATAGAGGAACTGTCTTGGTTTCCCCGCCCACAGAGGATTAGGATACCACCATGGTGTTCCACATGAATGAGCCTCCGTCTTATTTGGTTTTCTCCCCCCCCCCCCTCTCCCTTGGTCACTCTCCCACTTCCGGCTGCCACTTTCCACGGTCACAATTCCATGAAATTGAATGTGAGATCTATGTTCTCACGCCATCGGTGTTATCTAACTGCGGTTTTGTTTTCTTAATTATCAGGTACAATGGAAGCTTGTCTCAAGGCGACAAGGGGAGGAGAAGAAGCAAGTTCATCTTGTTGAAGAAGGCCATTCCGAACGGGGTGAAAAAGTCTCATGGTTATGTGGTAAATATGGGCGAAAACCCTCAGGTGAGTCGTGTCATCAGCCCCTCCGGCTTGAGACTCGGGACTCATTACCGCTTGGTCATGGGAAGGTAAGGCTGAGATAAGCCGACAGTAGTCCGCCTATATTTTTTTATAGCGGTCATTGAGGATTGGGATAAGAACTGGGATGGCTTAACTTCTCACTCCCTAATGAGATAGAGAGAGCGGCAATGTTCGAGGATATTGGTTCGCTTGGGGGGGGGTTTAAAGGGTTCCCCCTTTTTTTTTCCACGGGAGCATATAGAGCGTGAAAGGACAAAAGGGGAAAAGAGGGAGGACTTGACTTGTGTGCTTGTCTCCTGAAGGATTGCGTCGTTTATCGCCTGTTCTGGGAGAGTGCCCCACGTGCGAACTCTCTCAAAATTCATGCAAAAGAGCAACTGAGCTCAACCAGAGATAGAGGAAGGAAGAAGGCGAGTGAGAGAGGGAAAGGAGAAAAAAAAATCCTTGCCTCTCACTTTTACTTACCGGTCGGTATTCATGGTTCCCGTCCTCGTCGGCGAAACGAGACGAGAAGATGGGGATGAACGAAGTGCTGCCCCCTCAACTCCCCTCCGTATAGGAGGTCGTTAATCCCACATCCAGTTTGTGTTCTTGCATCATAATGATGGGCTTTGCGTTCTTTCATCGGATCGATAGTGAGGGATGAGGAGCTTCATTATAGGATCTTGTTACCTGCGTGCACGGCAATGATTATTGGAATCTGAATTCGTTAAAACTAGAGCGTGCCACTCGATGTGGTGATTGGATTCTAAGTACTTGTAAATCTACCTGTCGAAGAAGTTAAAACGAGTTATCTACAAGTCGAATGAGACTCGTGTCCCGTGGTGGTAGTCCTTGAATGAAAATCTTGTCACTTTTGGCGTCTCATTGACATACGACGTCCCACTTGACCTTCTATTTTTTAAATATTTTTCTCCATGCTATTGAGGCCTCTACGCAGGCAGGTTTTACCTCTTTTTTTTTTCTTGACAGGCGGTGGTAAACAAGGAACAGCACTCCATCTCGTACACGATGTCTCGGAATCAGACTGTTGTCGTGGAATACATGCATGATAGCAAGACCGACATGTTCCAGGTAAGGCTGATGCGTATGTGCGGAATTCAGCGGAAATTATTACAGGTTTGGGGCATGTGCGATTTCTCAGCCGCGCCATTCCATGTCAGCCGTTCGAATTTTATCAACTGTTTCCTTCGACGACTTTTAAAATTTGCTGTTGGCAGGCCGGTGAACAACCCAAATCCGTAAATGGTATTCTCCAATCATAACGGTACCGAAGAAGCTCGTAAGGTTGCCTGCAAATGTCCTTGAGGAGCCGTCTTATCTATTGAACTAAGGGTGTTAGATACCCCACTCGTCTAATGAAAACCTTTGAAGGGTAAAATTCAATAGTCAGTGTTGAGTAGCTTTCGTTTTGACTTCCACAACGTGCATATGTCCTGTCTCCTTTGGAGATAATTAGAAGAGAATGGAACTTGATGTTGGAGTCAACTTGAACAATGTATTTTTGCCCAGCATTTCAGTTTGTCTTGTTGATCCTTCCCGAGGTCATGAGAATTTTTATGGTATATTAATTTGTAATAATTTATCGACACAGCTGACATTCTTTGAAATGATAGCATTTTTCTCTTCATGAGTTTTCCTTCGAGCTATCATTGGACACCTGCAGCTCTATTGATGGAAAATGTTGCCCTGAGGTAAGGGGGGAGGTCATCTGGACACGGCCCTCAAACTTTAGGGGACATATCAAGACCGTTCGTGATAGTGGCCTGAAATGTCATTTTGGGGTTACTTCATGGTGTTCACCAATTATTCTAATGGAAATTGTGTATTTCCTCAATTCGTAAGTTGAGCAACCACAAACTGTACAGTCGACTTTGAATGGCCCTACCGTCTCTCATGCCAGTTAATAATAATAGAACATTGTAGGTCCGAGATAGATATAATAGAAATGCTGGTCTTATTCATAAAGAACGTAGTTCTGGCTCTTGATCCTGGTCTTGATCCCTTGATCGGGCGTGTGATATGAAGGCGATTTTGTATGTGAAATCCTTCACATATGGTCCGGTCCAATCATATGTTTCCCTACCAGGATATCATGGCCTCATGTTTCTCATTGAACAGATGAGTCGCCTATCTGTCTGCCGCCTTTGATTTTCGGAAGAGAGTGAAACGGCGGCAGCGACCCTTGGCCCTTTTTGCCACGCCATGACATTTGCAAGCAGTGCTTGTCGTGGTGTCTCCAGGACGCTCCTGATGACTCAGATGTCCTTTCCCCCTCGAAGTGAAGCCCTATCTGGAGATGAGTGTCCAGACATGGCTTCTCTCATGATGAGGGTGATTCCTTGTTGAGTGGGTTTCATTCAAAACAGCAGAAGGATGGGAGTGTAATGATGTTAGCTTGTGCATTCGTGAAATTACGGGACGTATGACCTCCCAAGCAATGATGGACTATTAAGCTCATTGACACGGTGAAGTACCCAAGCATTTCTACTCTTTCCGCCTCCCCACCCATCTTCCGCGGTCATACCGCAGCCTCGTACTCTCTGTTGCGTGCGCGCCCTTAGGAAATTCCTTAAGAATCAAATGCGGTAGATCTCTATCATTTGGGCTCACCTCCGTAAAAACAAAATTCCAGCATCCATGCCTCAAGGATCGTGAACTAGTGAACCGTAGCATGGAAATGGGCATGCAGACTGCAAGACTATTTTAACTATTTCTGAGAACTGACGGTAATCGGTTGGTTAGATATTCCACGTTTAAGCTATAAATACCGTTCATAGACTTCATTATACATTAAGGGAAGGAAATGTGGTGTATGTGAACATGCACCAGAATGTCACCAAGTCAGTCTAGAAATTTTCAGCACATTAGTTATATTTATCCAGAGGCACTGTGAAGGCACTGTAACTGATGCCCAAAAAAGGTGATCTTTCGTGGCGATGTGGACAATGACGCATGCAGATGAGGGTAGGAAAACCATGTTTCTGATTAAATCAATCGTCTGTAAATTCCTAGAAAGTCAGTAATAGAAATGGGAAGGATGCGTTGGGATAATAGCGCTAACGAAGGCGGAGGTTTTCTTCGAAAACTTCATTTTGATCAGTGGCGTTCTCCCGAGAAGGACCTGGATGAGTCGAGGAAATGCATTCTCAAAAATGTTTTGTGGGGTCCCCACCTTTCAGATTGGGAGGAGTTCGGAGAGCGGGATAGACTTCGTGGTGATGGACACGATCCCGGGAGACAGGAGGAGGGAGATCCGGATGACGCCGTCGCAGAGCACCATCTCCCGGTTCGCCTGCCGCTTCATCGTCCCACGCGACGATGAGTTCCACGTCCCGCGCCTCTTCGCGGCGGGGTTCGACTCTTCCAACAACATCTTCCTTGGGGTTAGAGGCTCGATGTATTGTCCCTTATGATGTCCTTATTTGAAGTTAAGTTCAATTTGTTGTTAATCAGTCGGGTCAGATTGGTCGGAACCGGTAAGAAATTATGAGGATCAAGGTGGAGAAGTTAGTGAAAACATCAGGATATGAGATGAAAACACGTGTCTCGGGGGGGCTCCTGCTAGATGGGATGCACGCAAACTCATCATGAGAATTGGAGGAGACGGAGTCTGTCATACTCAATCAGTTCGGTAGGAAATCCTCGGCTGTCAGCAGTCAGATCCAGACAGCAATGTCTCTGAGGGTCTCTCTCGTTTCTCTCGGGTCGTCCCCAGACGACAAGAAATATGCTGTTTGTTCAGGTGTGGTACATCCTCTTTTGAACTTTTTTTTTTTTTTTTTTTTTTTTTTTTTTTTTTTTTGGGGTACATCCTCTTTTGAACTTTTTTTTTTTTTTTTTTTTTTTTTTACTCAGAGAAGAGAAATCTATATATTTCTCAACATTCTATGGAACGACAGCATGGAGCTGTTAGCCGAAGGGTGGGTGTGGCAAGGATGGATTGCCAAATTGAGGCTTTGGAGCCTCTAATGAGGCATTAGAGGGAGTGAGGAGACGATTTCTGCCATATGACACGCGACGGGACCATGTGCTCCGGCGTGAGACGCGTTATACGACGGGACGGAAGTTATACAATGAGAGAGAGGGAGAAAGATCCAGCTCTAATTGTAGCCGGAGGGGAGGAACTTTTCCGTCCTCCGGGGATGGATATATGCTGTAGCCTGGCGGGTTTCCGAACCATGACACATCATGACCAGGGGTTTCATAATAGGACTCGGGAGTGCATCGAACTCCGGATCCATGTCTCTGGACTTTCCGCATTTTGGGGGCTAATCTGCGAAAGTGGTTTTTCCTCCCACATTCTCAAATCTCAATCTCCCTCGGGACGGAGTGAATGAAGTGATAGCCGCCGAGAGAGATTATACGCCACTCCTGGTTACGCGTTTCACTCGTTCTGTTCCCAACATATGTTCGTGGTTTCGGCCTCGTCTTTCCGAATGAAGTGCTCATCTCTTCCAAAAGTAGCGGGGCTCTCAGTTCCACGAAGGGAAAAGTCCCGATGCTCATCTGCGCGCGATTCATCAACCCACACTTTGAAGCAGATGGAAGGAGAGGTGAGGGACCCGTTGCGTTTCTCTCTTCCGATGGGTGACCCCAACCCCAGTCACGACCCGCTGGAGCGACGCGAATGATGAGCCTTATGCGCCAGTGAGAGCACCTTGCTCAATATATGAATATATATGCTCATGGGGTCGCCGTTCTCTCCCATTGAAAGCGGATCTCGAGTCTTATTCCTTCATACTAAATTTTGATCGATCATCGGTTCATCGGGGCCAATTAGTATATGATTAGTTTATTCATTGCCAGCTGGAGCTGCAGTTTCTGAATAGCACGCAAAACTCGCTACTGTCGTTGGAAAGAAATTCGCTTTATTCTGCTTTATTTGCGTGTTGCAAGTTGCAAGTTTGTCGCCGAATTACTGTGTGGACTCGTTACGTGCTGAGATTATTGGAATAGGGGCATGTAAACAGGACCTCCTCTAACGAAAGTCGGACGTGTTGGAAACCGTGCCGTGAAGAGAGAATACAATGGAATCGCTTTCTAGCAGGATGTATTTGAAATCGATCTGCGTGAAAGATACGGCGCATTGCGGAATACGAGTTGATGTGGCTATGACAGAATGGTATGTGTATGCCTATATGTCGTGGTGAACAATCCTTGTCGCTGGGAGAAACAATCCCTTGTTGCAGATAGGAGGAAATCTAGAAACTTCTCTGCATTCAATGTAATCTATCGCCGGTTCCGAATAAGAAGCTACTTTTTGTGCTGGTAGCAGTCGTAGTTCCTTTTTTTAATGTAACGATCCGTCAAATCGAGACCCTGAGAACCATGGTCTGACGAGTTGTACGTGCCTGGGTTGACTGTAATTTCCCATCGTAGAGAGACTATGACTCAGCTGGGTCCAACTAATTCCTGGACCCGGGGGCGAACTGGTATCTAGAGACATGTGGAATGCTACATAGATCCTTCTGTGGTCCTGGTAGAGCTGGTTTTGAATAATGAGTGAATAAAAGTGCGACTTTGACTTGGTAATTCCAGTTTTCGATGGAACTCTGCCTGGCAATTTTTTTTTTACTCCTGTCGAACTTAAACTACCGGAGGGATTTTAGACTTACAAATTGAAGCGTAGTTTAGTCATAGTTGACTGTAAATATAACTGGGCAAACTTTGGGGGAAAACTTAAGCAAAAAATTAACGACATGTATGAATTTGAAATCAGCTTTATGCAATAAGGAATAAACGGCTCCAACAAAGATGGTTAAGATTGGAAAGAGCATTCTTTTCAGTCGGAGTAGTGAGTTGAAGAATGTTAAATTAGCGCTCTTGTGGCTAAGTGCTCGTATGAAACGACGTTCCAGCCATCTTGAGATAGCTGGAACGGCGAATAGGTCATGCTGATCAAACTTAACAAATTACTTAGGAATCCCTGTGGTACGGTAATTGAGCCGGGACTTGAGGATGACCTCAATGCACGATCTGCGGTGAATGAAAGGCAAGAAGCCAGTGAATGATGAATGGTTCCCATTGCGGAAGCCCCGGTCAGGGAAGCGATCGGAAAGGGAGAAATGAAAAAGGTCTGGTCGCAACGCTTGAGTCGATTCTGGAACGAATCTCCAGTCAAGTGGGAATTGCGGGTCCCTCGGGTCACTGCGTCTCTTTTGTATAAATCCCGATCGCCTGAGACCGAGAATCGGTTCCAAGAAGACGAGTCTGGTGGAAATATTTGCTCACGGTTGGAGTCTCGAGTGAGAGGTTCCAAGCGAAAGCTTGGGCACGATGCCCATCCACGAACAACGAGCTCGTTTTAACACCGCTCTCCCCTTTGTTCGCTCGCGCTTTCCCTTCGACGCCGAGCACATCTGAAACTATCCTCAAAGGGGGGGGGGGGTTTGAACCCCAGGAGAGACACTCGACACTTTCAGGGATTCTAAGTGGGGGGGAGGGAATTCGGGGATTCTCAAGGGAAGAAATCCAAGTATTCGCGTAGGAGGTAGGCGTGGCGGAATCGTGCATTCATTTTTGTTCCCGTCATGCCCACGTTAGATTATTGACCTGTTCATTATGTTGTCGCTTCGGGAGGAGTAATATCGAATGGCACCGGGGAAACTTCAGAGGGTCTCTCACCTTTTGTTGAGAGGTAGAGAGAGGGACCAGAGTACAAAGGCCCCGGAGCCCAGATGGCGTCTACCTTGGGGGCATTCATTGATTTTTTTCCCCCTTGTCTCCAACGGAGGTATTTTTCGTAAACGAATCCTATCGTATGACACGACGGGGTGCAGGATGGAATCCGTCAGCCCATTTTACACGGCTGATCACGATCATATGGAAAAAGGTGTGTGACTGTTGGAATGAATGCAACAGAGTCACGGGGCTTGTGACGTAGGTCGTTGGCCCTATATTCTGATCGCTGGGGAACGCCTATTATCACATGGATCGAGATCGACCAGACGAGAACCACATTCGAGAATAGATCCCACGGATCGATGCCATGTATGTCTCCCACACGTGGACTGCAATGGGTCTCCTAGAATACGTGTTCAGACCTGCCTCATGTCGAGGGGAAGTGGGGATTGAATGGCAAGGCTGCCAGATTATGCAAGCCCGTAAGCCCGATTTTTCCCCACGGATGCCCAATGCATGTATTCTACATAATGCTTCATAAAAGGACCCAAATTCCAGAGTCCTATGCTTTAAATCGCTAATTTGGATCCATCCAATATTCATTCTCTTTTGTTCATTTCATCCATCCAAGTCATGAATAACAATGAAAATGTGAGGTATGCAGGAAGTCATGTTAACGGTATTACGTGCCATCCGATCCAGGCTTTAGCCTGGTCCGTAGTTCTACACAGGACGTGCAATCTAATATGAAGCATGGCTGGAAGAGCAGCTGCTCGCAGCAGCAGCAAGCCTGGACGTGCCTTCATTTCTCGAATGTCAGTGTCCACGCTGCCCACATGTGTGCCCCTTCGATATCAGAGATCAGTGGGGGGGTTTGAAATCGAAAGCCCCAAAGTGTATACATGTATGCAATTCTGATAGTTAATGATTGTAAGCATTGGTGGCCAGAACAACGCTGCTTTCGCCATCGGAGTTGAATCGACTACGTCACCGTAAAAGTGAGAGTCGGAATACTGGGAAGACGCGCTACAAAATCCCGAAAGATTCCAACTTGGAGTACACGCAAACTTTGGGAATCTGGCAACCCTGGGAAGAAAGGAAGCTTGCTTTTGCCTGGAGGCACGCATGACAGCATAGAAGATACGTGCATACTCGTCTTTCACGTTGGTTCCTGCCGATAGAGGCCATGTCCCCATGGCGAGTTCCGTCTCGTTTACAATGAATACTCCAGTTCCGGTCCACCTGTGTCCCGGTTTTTCAGCTTCCAAGCAAGAGAAGCAAACCAAATTGTATCTCTCTGCTCCATGACTGCTTTCTGTAATTGGGGATTCCTCTCCCCTCCGGCCTCCCGCAGGCAACATTGTTGCAGTCTTGATTGGTGGCGGTTGGCTTACGTCACCATTCATCTTTACATGGGGGGTGTGGGGGGAAATACCGTCCTTCCTTTCCTTTTTGCAGATGCATGTTCGCACATGCTTCCCACAGGACCCCACAAGTAACGACACGCGTCACTGATTTTTTTTTTCTATAAAAGCGGAAAGATAGTAGACCGAGCAATGCCCTGCTCCTCTATCAATACCCCTGATAGGACATAGAACTCTGCCCATCCATGACGAATTTTCCGGTAATAGGTTTCAGATACTAAGTCGACAAGTCTCGCTGACTCCTCTAATTTTAATTTGCTTCGTTCTTTTTATATTGTCTATGTTTGACTTTATTATTTTGTTCTATATAGTCTTCTCTTCTCGTCTCGCAGGAAAAGGCGACGAAATGGCAGAAAGAGGACGAGACGGATGGTTTGACGACGAATGGAGTCCTCATTTATCATCCAGTGGGATCGTTCCTGGGTGGAGACGCCGTGCCGGGCATGTGGGCCGAGGTCTCCGTCGGCGGTGGCGTCTATGGACTTCGCGAGTCCCGATCCTCCTCCAGAATGGGCTGCAAAGTGAGTGATGGATCTTCTAATGCCAATGTGGGTTCGTGAAAACATGTCGCTCCGAAAAGAGCCAGTCAGTAGGCGTGCAGTTGCGTTTGCAAAGAATTCCACTTCTGTAGATTGACTTTTACATCCCAAGGGAGACCTACCGAATTTGAACCATATTTTGACCCGATTTCATGATGGGAATAAGTGGGGAAGGATTATTTCGGTTGAATTGGCCCCCATAGAGACTGAAATATGATCGTACTAATCTGAGCCGATGTCGCACATATATGGTGTAAAAACTTATATATATATATATATATATATATATATATATTTTTAGGGACTTGAACCTATTTTGATTCCTTGCAAGCAAAGGGTGGAAAATTGGGCTAGGAGTAGGATAGTGACCAGGATTCTGTGTGTAGGGCTCTCGGTTCGGCCTGTATTTAACAAAGCATTTGCCGCCTTCACAAAAAGCTTCTGTCGTGATGAATGCCATCATGGTATTCATCATAGAACCTATTAGCCACTTACGTTTTGTCTTTTTCAAAGGGATCCTGCTAGGGGGCTTTTACCTAATTGCTCGCAGAAAATGCTTAGTCAGGCTTACTTGTAACATTTCTGCAATTCATGGGTGGCAGGAGACGTGAATGAGAACACATTAGCAAGACCGACAACATGGTTGCACTCTACGGACTTTCTCTAAAAGTTTTCATTTGCGCAGAGAGAAGAGGTGACGAATGAGTTGAGAGATGGGAGCATGATCGACCTCTGTGGTGCTACGTTGTTGTGGAGGTCTGCTGAAGGACTCAAGAGATCACCTGTAAGCCTCTTCTAGGATCCAGGCTGGGTTACGGCAAACCTGCAATTTTTCATGACGCATCTGGCATCCGTTGTAGACAAAGCAGGACCTAGAGAGTCTGGTAGACAAGGTGAATGCAGGCCGGCCGCAATGCCCCGTCGGGTTGACAACCTTGGTCCTACCGAGGAGAAGCACGGCGTCGAGCAACAAGGACCAACAGCCCTACGTCTACCTGAACTGCGGACATGTCCAAGGTCATCACGAATGGCGGGCTGGGAAACATTCTCAAGAGCGCACCTGTCCCATGTGCTTTGAGGTATGCTCTCACTTTCTCATCGACTTCCCTTTCAGTGAACTACTTTGGATTCAGGCCATAATTTCATACAGTCCAATGAAATACCATTTCTTGAACTCGTTGCCCAACAGGAGTTGCTACTGATTGCTCATAGTAGTCCTTTAAAGAAACTAAATCAATTCAACTTTAATTATACCCATTCACAATGACTCTTTCGCTTAACACTCCCTTATCTCAGCAAGTTGGACTTAGCTCAACTTTCCCAGTGTTGTCCAATAAGGATTCAATTTTCTATTGCATGCAATCGATTTTGACAGAATTAGTCCTGCACCAGGTTTTTTTTTGGTTGTCTATTTCTGGAAGGTGATGTTGACACATGAGCATGTGTCATGATGCAGTTCAGGGTGATAATAAAAGTCAGTTCAGATGTGAACATTATTTAGTTTTGCTACTCAGGACAAGATTACAGTATATCATATATTCATGTGACATGGGAAGCTCTGCAGTTATGAAGTTTCCTATCAGGGCATCACAGCATACAGTTACCTATGCTGTGATGGTGTGGTGCTTCTTTGAAATCAGGCTCCCTAACATCTTATTCACTGGGCATCTTGGTTGAAGTTGAGAGAATGTATTATGCCCTACCCTGATCCACTGCTAGTTTTTTTTTATTATCATGGCAAGAGTGCAAAAGTGGCTGTCTTTACTGGATATTCTTGCTGAAGTTTTTTGGGCACCTGAAATGACTGCTGTATATGCATCAATAATTCTCATTGATCTTTATTATTGCATATATTACGGTTTTCATTTGAATATCATCCCCACCATCAGAATTGTTTTAATCTATTTGCTTCAAATGGTAAATGTTGACAATGGGGAAAATCAACTGAGCTTCAATCTCATGACTACTCAGTTTTTCCTGGAGTCCGCTTGCTTATCTTGCATCTTGTGAACCATTGAAGCTCACTTCAGCATGAGTGCTATGAAAAAGATTGTTGTTGGGCAGAAGATAATTCAAATGGAGTTTCCTTTGGCCTCTCCATAATAACAAGTCACTGTATGATGTGGAATGATATCCTGTTTTGGTTGTTCGTCGAGCTGAATGGGAAACTAGAACTGGTAAATCACAGGTATCTGAGAGGAAGTGCATCCAAATTTAAAATTCCCTTGGGAGGCTGCATCATAGAGGTTCAATTTCTCGAATAGTGGAGTGCTACCACAGGTCAGCACAAGCTTAAAGGAGGCCCTCTTCCAGCTTCAGTTTTCAATCTTGTCGTATAGACATAGCTGATTTTTCATTTCAATTATCCTGATTTTTCTTGAATCCACTGAATACCTTGTGGAGGTAGTTGTAAAAGAGAATCTTAATGAGCAAGCCCCTTGAACCTAGAAGGGTGCAAAAGATTTCATTGTTCAACATGTCCCTCAGTTAGTTTATGAGATTGTAATAAATTAGAGGTTGTTCAATTGCTCACTGCCATCCTTATTAAGCAAATTTTGCAAGGATTGCCATAATTATAAACTACAATGTTTTGTACTTTTAGTATTCATAGCATTTTGCTCTGTTTACTTCAAAATAAAATAAGTTAATTTATTGAACTGACTTGGTGTCAGTGGTTCCCAACTTTTTTGACAGAGGAACCCAGATTTTGCTAATTCAAAGTTTTGCAACTCATGAAGAATACTGACCAGTAGGAAAAAATACAGGTGAAGATAAAGGTGAAATATGCAGGCTAAAAACACTACATAAAGTAAAAAGCAGAAAATCTTTTAAATTATGTGTTGGGCCACAAGGCATTCCAATTCAAAACCCCCTGGGTTGCATTGGGAACCACTCATTTATAATTATCCTTTTTTTTAACTTAAAAATACTATCTTTGTCCTTGGAATCTTCATCATTCTTCAATGGCTATTTTCAAATACTGATAGTACCAGTATTTGAGATGATGTTGCTAGTTTGTATCAAGCATTCACCATTATTAGCTATTAGCTAATAATGGTGAATTAGCACAGTACAGTGATGGGTTTCCCGAGGAGAGAGGAAGATAATCAGTAGTGATGAATTCTGAAGTATGGCTCTTCAAGAAACCAAATCAAGAATCAGATTGAAGAGGAAGATTAAGAGAAGAATTGAAGGAGGCTAAGTTAGCTCAAAAGAAGAGGACACACTTTCATCAAATTGAAGGCAGATGGGATCCTGTTCTGCCCTGGAGGATAAGAGCATCGTTAGAATACTGGATGAAGTTCTCTCAGGGACTTGAGTACTTGCTTGCATCCATTGCATCCCAAGAAGCTGATGGAGAAGTTATCCATCAGGCAACATCTTTGAGGCCGTCTCTCCAAGAAGTCATTAAAAAAATCCTTACCCTAGAATACTTTAGGACAGTTAGCAGTCAGAAGGAAGGAAGGCAGGCACTACTTCAGGAAAACCTCACTTTAGGAGCTGGGGATTCTGTATGAGGTCCAGTCCATTCAGCCAGGGAGATGGTAGGGTCAGACAGTAGGCATCTCTCTTTGTCCATGTGAGCTCTTCATTCATCCATCCCCCCTCCTCATCATCTTCTAATCCTGATTATGATTCTTAATGGAAAATTTAGTCCCACTGAGGAACTTCTAGTAGAAATCCTTATCTAAACCACTGAAAGAATTTGGGAAGTCTTGAAATTGTTGAGTCTTTTCTGATAAATTTCCTCCAATAGAAACATTTACCTAATGGAAGTTGAAAGAAGAGAAAAAGAGCATCCAGTGAAAGAGGTATAATTTTAGAATAATTGCTACTTCAAACCATGATTCAATTTTGATTTCAGCATCATCTTAAGAATGCATCTGATGAAATTGGCTAGATTATTGGTCTGGGTTTCATATAATGTATGATTAGATTAAGCCAGTGGATTGCTGGCAATGGCCATAAATTTTAAAGTTGATAAGGATCATCTTGCAAGTCCCATCTGGCTTAGAAGGAAGGAATCACAAGTAGCTCCATCTCCACCTGCTATGGCATTCCCAGATGCATTCCTTCATGATCTCTCTCCTTGACTCAACATGGATTCCCAGGATAGAAAATTTATGCCTCAGTCATCAGTCTCATGCTGGCTATTGCAGAGCTGCCCAGAGATATCACTTTCTGAAATGAAAGACTACTTCTGGTTCTGTGACTTCATCTTGTACTGTCTAGGTAGAGGTGAATGATACAGAAATCATTTCAAGTTTGAGTTCATTTTTCTCATAGGCCTAGTTTGTTGATGGTCAAAGTATTGTGTATATTAATAGCTTTGTTCATATTTTGCTAGGTTGGACCAATAGCAAAGTTGGAGATGGGATTGGAACCTGCATTCTATGTTGATTGCCGCCCACCCACGTATGCCTTCAACCCATGTGGACACATGGCATCGGAAAAAACCATCAAGTGAGTCATGATAACATCACTGCCCCACCTCACCTGAGCAAGTTTTGCAAATTGTGTTACCCTGTCATGCTTTTCTCACTCACCTGATTTTCTGTCTGAATGGCAAAGCTTCATTTACAGCTTTCATTGTGGAGTTGAGTTGTGGGTCTTTGGTCTGATGTCTTGAGAGGACTTGGTCATTCCTGGTAGCCTAACAGATCACTCCCACGTTTAAATGGGAATTTCTTGTACCTGTAAAACTGGTTTAAATATCCCTATGCACGACTTTGCCATACCCATGTCTTGCCAGTTTAATGACAGGTTCTCATCAGAATGTTTTCCTCACCATTTTTCTTTTTAGATACTGGGAGAAAGTGCCAATTCCCCATGGAACTAATGGTTTCCATGCAATGTGCCCATTCTGTGCCACACCCTTGGAAGGAAGTCCGGGTTATGTGAAGCTCATCTTCCAAGACAATCTGGACTGAAAAGTTTTTAGCCTGACCCAAAAAGTGTCATAATTTGGATTTGGCATTGTGATACATGATGAACAGGAGCACATGGACTTGTGTGATTGGCCTCTTCCAGATAGGGAAAGAGATGGAGCAAAACGTTGTCAGCTTAGTATTTGGTTGATGCAAGTTCATGATCTCAGTGATCTTTCACTTGGTCTGGGAGCCATGTTCTCTCCAGAGCAATTCCTCCTCAAGAATAAACTTTGGGCCATTATTTATGCTCATATTTATACAATTTGTACAGGTTACAATTCTCTCATAATGACTGTATTTGCACTGCTGGAAAGACGATGCTTCATGGGGTTTTTCAAGTCTTACAATGTAAGATCACTTCAATGTGGAAGAATAGAACCTCACAGGTTTTGCTCTGGCAGAGACATGGCCAATGGAAATGGATGATTTTGATGGCCTATCTGGACATTGTCTTTCATCTGTGCTTGAGAATACTTGTTTTCTTGAAATGCTTTCCAGAAGCATTGTGGTGGAGCTGGCTGATGATGATGCTTTTTTCTTCAAGTTCAGAAAGTATGTTCATTTTACATCTAAATGGAAACTTTTCATTGATTGCCTACTGGACATATCACTTTCACTTATAGCTTGTGATCTCAAATGCCTCTGTCACACCAATGAATTTCATGGTAATTCCAAACCAGATTTTATGAAAACTCAAAAGTACTTAGAGTACTTTCTGTCCAAGAGCCATGGGTGTTATGGAGATAGAGGAATCCAAACAAGGTACCCAAGCACAGTAATCTTGAAAAATTTTCAAAGACATAAGTTGAAAGAAAGTCTTGCTAGCTGTCAGGGCGATGATGATGCGGTATGAATGTGTAAAGCCATCGATTAATTGAGCTCATCCTCCTGGTGCTTGCAAACTGGTGATGTATGGGCCCATCAACATCGGTACAAAAATGTCAAGTGTGCTGTGTCTGACTATTTGCTTCATATGAATTTTTGTCATTTTGAAATTGTTTCGAGTTTTGAAGGGAACGATACAGTTTTGGTGCAGAAGACACCTGTTCCTAAGGCCAAGTCTCCTCCTGTCACAATTGGGGTGGCTAATGTGCCCAGAGGTGAGTGAACTCTTGTGCAGAGTTTCATTATTTTCATGTCGATATTCCGACTATTGAACTGTAGTCATTTGATCGTCCTTGTATGCTGTCTTGTTGTATTTCATTGAAAGGGAAAATAAAGTTTGTAGGGTGAGTGGATGGCATTTGTTTGATTTTCAAGGCTATTCAGGTTGACAGGCTTATGTATGTTTCTAAGATTTATGGTCTGGGGAGGTGGTAATATGCTCTTCGAAATCCCAGATTCTGGGTGCACCCTGGTCATGACTGGTGACTTGGGCATGTTTGCTTTGAAATATGTTTGTGTTTTTTTTTTTGACGTTGCGGATTATCGCTTCAAGGTATGAGGGAATTCAAACGCTGAACTATAGCACTGTCACAGGAAACGCATAAATCGCTTAGACCGGCCCGAACGGTTGCATACATTGGACACTTCTTTGTGTTGAACATTTGGTGCAGGCTCCACATTGCATACCTTCAGATCCTCAAAGTCACGGATGGATTCAACCCTTCGTTCCTGCATGCGTATGTGATTGTGCATGTTGTCTGAAATGTGCTGTAAAGAAACGTTGAAATTTGGGCGAGGACAACCCAGGGGTTGACACTTGTCCTGGGATAGGAATGCTGAAAATCGAAGACCCAGACTTCTAACATGCTAAAGTCAGAAAGACGAAATATGCTTCACGGATGGTCTTCGACACTGACTGGTTCTCGAGGTTAAAGACTAGAAACGCCAGGTACCGTTTTCAAAATAGGTCTTATCTCAGTCTCCTATGCTTAGATTTGAGCAGGCCACTAACTTTTCGGGGCTAAGCACCCTACTTGAATGGATGACCCTATTCAACATCCTGAGGCATAGCATTTAGCTGAAGTGGGCTGCTCAAGTCTAAGGGAGAGTCCTCCATCATTTATATCTTAGCATAGTGGATAAGTGGACTGGTGAATAACATGAGTAACACTTTCATTCAAGTGTCGAATATCTTCTATAGAAGGGCTCTTGCTCGTGAAAGTTCTTCGCTACAGAATCAATCCGCTTGATGCTTATTACGACTCCGACTTGTACATGCGTTACCGATTTGACATGAGCAACATTCTTTTCCTCATTGGCCTTCTTCAGGAGGACATAGAAGCAGTTGCTCCGAGAAATCACCTCATATTGCATGTTATTCAAGTCTGTGTTGCTTTGCAGCACTTAGCTAAAGGATATTGTCGAGCTGTGCTAAGTGACTGTGGAAATCTTCCATATTTCTGCAAGTAGGATATTTTGGAAGGTTGCACTTGCTAGGAGAGCGAGGTTTCGCATTTTGTGAAGCAACCAGATGGTCAGATGGCACAAGAAAGGGATGCCTTCGGTCAATTCCCTTGTGTGATTGGTGTATTCATGTGCGAATTCAAGCTCCAACAGTTAATGAGTCTGATTACTTCAATCACAAGGAATATTATTCAATAAACGTCATGTACGTTTGCAATAGTGCATATGAGCTCACACGTACGAGCTATATCTGCACGCTGGCCGGTTGTGTCCACGATGTCCGGGTACTCCGCTAAGCTTCTTGTATGGTCAGTTGCAAAATAGAGCAGCCTCTGGTTTCTCTTGAAGAATGTGGCGATGCATGCCCGAAAAGTCCTATTGAATCCACACCTGAACCCTGCAGACTGCCAACGAGTGCGACATACAGTGGTCGTCAAAATTAACGTACCAAAGTTTTCTCGATAGGGAACCTACGCGGCTCAAACGTTTTGCATAGGACAGCTGCCCATGTGTGCTGATCCGCCTAAAAAAAAAATGGGTGACTAGTTCGTTACACCCCAGTTACGTACCTGTTTTTCATCGGCGTGAAGAAAAATGCTACTTTCGGTGAAGAATCGTTACGAGATTGATTTCATGTCGCTCGTCCCTTGCGTCCGAAGCTCTCTTTTGCGCTATCTCAAAGTACAAAAAAGATCTCAAAAGCCAGCAAAGGCCGGTTGGCTTAAAATATATCGAGAGACGGGAATGATGAAGGGAAAAGAGTGATCGCCCGGACTGTCAAACACCTGGGTAAGGTGCATGCTTGGGGCTGCCTCTATGCTGGAGGGATTGGGAACATCTGCACCTTCACCCAGAACCTGGATGCGCGTCTGCTGAAGACCATTTATGAGCGTGCCCTCTTGCCTTCTGCAGCTGCTATGTTTCCCGATTCGATGAACACTTGGGTGCTGCAGGAGGACAATGATCCAAAGCACGCCTCAAAGCAGGTGACCAACTGGAGGGTTGAGAATGGGGTGTTCCGTTTGGACTGGCCGTCGCAGTCTCCTAACCTCAACCCCTTAGAGAATGTGTGGGCTCTTCTGAAGGTCAAAGATCGACGCCCCAAAACGATCAAGACTTTAAGAGCAATAATTAAGGAGGAGTGGGATAATCTGAGTGAAGAATTCACCGAAAAATTGGCAGACTCGATGCCGGGCCGATTACGTGCTGTAGTCGAAGCGCAGGGCGATTATACAAGTACTCAGTATAGAAATCAGGGCTCTGTATGTACTTTCTGTTGATGTAGGTTTTCCTACATCTCTCGTTGAATAAGAGATAGCCCTTGTACGTTAATTTTGACGCGTACTGTAATAAACCATGGTGAAGGTAATATTTGGGTAGTCGAAAATGAGGTTCCATTGCCTACATTCAGACCCCTGCACGACTTCAACTTGGGCAAGCACCATCAACACTGCATATTGTCCATCGCAAAAGGTCGGGGGCCTTCATGACCATTTTAATGTCTTCACGGATGAACAACCGAATGAAGATTCAGATGGAGATGCATACCAAGACCGTTTGGCACTGGCATGCACCCATCACAAAGTCCTCTTGATATCTCGCCAGAAAAACCATTTGCTCTTGTAGGCTAATATTCCCCTTTCGCTTGAAAGCTGCAATGCTGACACGGAAGAAACAGCAGGATGTCACAGTTCTAGGATGTTACTGTTCCAGGATGTAACAGTTCCAGGATGTAACGATTGCTCGGCGTCCCTTAGCACTCTGCTTTGGTTTAGCAGTGTGATAAGACGGATATTGAATGACTGGGTTGAATATCCTGCTAACTTGAGCAGACACCTTAGCAGGGTTCTAGGCTTACTTATAAGAAATATATTGAATACGGGCCCAGATCATTTCCTTAGTATGTAACCGTCATCGAAAGCTCTTTCTTGTCCTGGGTTCCACATCTACATACGCAGTTATCAGAATCGCCTAACTATGAAAGTATTTTAATATTAACTGTCGCAGTCTGTGGGCTTGTACACAAATTATAACATGCTAATTGATGAATTAAAACGTTGATTAGTTTATTTCTCGATGGTACTTCTCAAGTGCTCTCTCTTGGATTGGACTACGCAGTCTCTTTGACCTCAACGACGCCCTCTGCATCTGATAACTGATTGTATTTTCTCTTATTGCTAATTAAAAATGAACCCAGAGTCAGTTGAAGTTTTTTTTACCCGCGAAGTGGATCCCGCAGGACACGGGTGTAATCTAGTACAGTTTACGTCTAGGACAGTTACAGTGTTTTTGAAAGGTCACTCCCTATTTTTAAACTGATATAACTTGAGTGATTTTCGAACTGTAAATTTTTTTATGTGCCAAAAGAAGCAGAATTCAATAAGATTTTATTATTTTACTTATTCATTTGTTTACGGTAACCCTCTATTGCGCCAAAATCGAAGATAGAGAGCAACCGTAAGCTAATAAATCATTAACATGTTAAAATTCTGTTTCTCTTGGCACAAAAACCGTTTTTATAGTCCAAAAATTACTGAAGTTACAGGTATTACAATTTAAAAATCAGGAATGGCTTTCCAACTGACTGTAGAATAACTGTGCTTCGAGAAGAACGGAATGAACTCGTCCATGGTGATCGATTTATCAGTTGGAGTGCCTGCACACAATTAGTCCAGTCCAGTCTAGTCTCATCTGATAAGATTTGCAGGAGAGAGAGGAGAGGAGAGAGCTCGGAAGAAGAGAAATCGCAGATGCAGAGCTGGATCTTGGCAATCTTGATTCTTGGGACGGAGTTTTATTGGACTTCCTCTGCGGACTCTCCTGCTGCGATTTTTTTTTGTGCTTTTTATTGACTGGACTGGGCGTTTTCTTAAGGTTAGCTTGGGTGTTATTCCATATTTTGGTGTTGCGTTTTCTGTTTCGATGCTCAGTGTTTTCCAAGTTTGGCATCGTTCGACCTTTCCACTGCCTTCTTTAGCACTCCGTCGAAACTCGGGGCGAATAAGCATTTTTTAAAGCATCTTTGTGAACGACTGTCTGCCCTTGAACCCATTTGGGGTCACATTTCTTCTTATCGAAAGACGAGGAAATTGTGAAGAGTTATCCCAAACAAGCGTTTCATCGACCAGCGCCCGAGCTCGCCGAATCCCATGGTTTTTAGTTTCCTCAGATCCGACCGGAGTTAATGTATGAGTCGATGATGGGACATTTCCGAATAACGCCCTCAAGGCCAACGATCCCACGCCGCCAGGAAAGCGAAAGGGTCCCTCGAAAGAAGTTCGACTGTCGGACTGGCCCCGAATGCGTTTTCCCCGATTTTCCCCGATTTTTTCCCAGTCTCCACAACAGGCCTTCGCGGTCCTCTCGATTTTCGGCTATTTCGTCGCTCGGCATTCGCGAAGGCGTCGCGGAGATTATTCCGTCGGTGTCTTTATCTGAATTTAATGCATAATTTATGGATTTCTCGAGAGGGTGAGACTGACGGGAGAACAGATTGCGATTTTATTGCGCCGTTGCTAATGCCGTTCAATCGGGTTGAAGCATGAAGTCGAGAAAGAATGAATTTTAGATGGCGTCCGGGTCCTTTAAATTCGCACGTGGAGCACCGATATAACCCGTCAGACTGTAATTTTATCGATTTCATCGATCGTGGGAAACACGAATGGTAACAAGCGGGTTTGAGTTCTCGTTCCCTTATTCCCCCTCCCCATCTTCCTCATACTAACGGCATCGATTGTGTACTCGGGTCACATGTTTGGACTGTTGTGACCATAATTTCAGGCTTTGCCGCGTACAAATTGCGTACACGTCAAACATCAACACTAAAAAATTTGTGGACGCAGCAGCCAGAACAAAGATATCCACAGTGGCATAGTCGGAGAAGGAGTGG